TTTTATACTAGATGGTTTCCGGTTCAATGTTGCATTAAATACATCTACCTCCTTAATTAAATCTTCATAAAATGCTTCTGCCGAAACCGGCTTATAAGTATCATACCAAGACTTAATATGGCCGACAAGACCCCTTAATTCTCCCTCATTAAACTTTAACCTTTTCCTCTGAAGGCAGGCATGCTTTTTATCTAGTTTAAGCTGTATTTGTAATGCAAAATGATCACTTAGCATTTCATCCACAGTAAGACAATTCCCCTCTATGCCCTCAGCATTTATTAAACAAGCATAATCTAATCTCCCTCCCCTCAAATGAGTAGGAGAGGGCTCGCCCAGCAGTTGAACATCTTCATGTTCCTGCAAAAACTGGTACCATCTGCAACCATTCCTATTTGCTTTACCCCTTGATCCTAAAGCTGGATGTCTGGCATTAAAATCCCCTACCACAAGTGTATCTTCAGAAAAGAAGGAATCTGGCAAGTATCGTAAATCAAGGGAGCTATCAGAGATGTATAGATTAATGAAATTTAACTCTCGGTCCTTTAATTGTATCCGCAAGCTAATACTTTCAATACCTCTATATCTCTGAGGGATTCCAGTTATCTCGGCAGGTATGGTACTTTTGACATAACATGAGACCCCCCTAGTTCCTCCATCAGCATATAAGTGAAAGCCTCTATAGCCATTTAGCCTCAGTATGCTACCATCCCTATCCCCAGTTTCCTGGAGTGCTACTATGTCAATATCCTCTCTAAGAGTATAATAGTGTACATCCACTGCTCTAGTTTTTAATCCATTAATGTTCCAAGATAATATTCTCAATTTACTTTCATCCATGATTAATAATAAAACTACCTTTGCCCTGTCCGTCACATTCCATGAGATACAAGAGTACCTTAGAAACTTCCTTCCAACACCGTAACATTTTTTCTTTCTCCTCACCTTCACAACTACTACTAACATCGAAGGTAATATTTTTCATATCTATTTTCTTTGTTATTTCTGTAACCCGTTTTACTTTAACCGTTCTTTCACCATTTGTCACAACAGGAGGTTGAACACCGCTAACACTACTAGAAAGTGTATTATCCTGACTATCCTCTATCATCGTTACCTCATGCACATCATTACTTTCTTCTACGCACGTTTCACTTTCCATTTCACGTCTCGTTTTACTTTCAATTACACGTCCTGTTTCACCACCATCTTTACCCCGTCCACCTTCCATAGCCAATTTTTCCAATGCCTCAATCCTCTTATCTAGTTTTTTTAGATACTCCAAAATTTGATTACCAACCTCAGAGGTGACCATATTGTCCTGAACCTTGTCGTCACAAGGTTTCAGTTTTTCCACTGCATGATGTACTTTCCCTAAGCTCGCCTTTACTTTCTCCGTCCCTTTTTCCCACACATTGATCATAGGGGCTGCCGTTGGCTTCCAACTGTTTCCTCCATGTTCCTCTTGCACAATTTTTCCTTGCTGCGAGGATACATCTATCCTGCTTGTAGGACCCGTTCTAGTCTCTTTCAGATGAGGCTTCATGGGGCATAGAGAGGAACCAGCATTGTGGCTGCCTCGACAGTTGCAACAAAATGGGATAATCTTTTCACTTCTTTCAATCTTGACTCTACACTCTCGCGAGTCGTGATTTTTCCCACAATACCGACACCTGGGGTCAAACTGGCATTTCCATGCCATATGTCCCCAACGTGAACACTTCATGCACAGTATAGGCTCCTCAACGTATTTTGCAACGTTCCTATAGCCTAGTCCTTGCACAAAAATTTTCTCCGGCGCCTCACCCTTTACCAAGGCAACAACCTGGCTTCGTTTGTCACCACGAACACTGTTCCTCTTGGCCCAGACAACATTATCATTGTTAAGAAGAAGACAGTCAGGATCCAAATAAGTTGGAAACTTGAAAACTATGATCTTTGTGTGCAACATACCTTCTTCTGGAGGAACCATCACTACATTCTCAAATCCAACCGTCGTGAGGCGTTCCACGGCCTGTTCAGTCCCAACTGTTATGTAGGGCCGGTGAAGACCCTCCTTGAAAAGTGGTTCGTATTCCAAACATTGTTTAGCCAAACGTACCGTCCACTCTAGCTTTTGGTGGAAATTCAATTGGCATGTTGTAGGGAACAACAGCCTCTTCCTTCTTGTCTTGTCTTGAGTCTTGCCGAGTAGGGTCTCATTCTTTGGTCTCTTTGCAATCTCATCGTCACTCTCACTGTCTCGCTGTCTGTTATTATTTCTCCGTTTCTTTTTGTTCACTACTAATTCAAACGGTCGATTATCATCTTGTCTGTCCTCCTCACTGCCACTTGGGCATACCGCCTCAGCCATTTCTTCGACGTTGTCAATAATCGAGAACAAATGCACAATATCCTGTATCACCACGTGCAAAAAACGAAGAGTGTGCTCGGCGATTATTAAAACACATGTATCTTCATTAGAACTTTATATATATCTATGTTAAAGTATTTAAAATGAAGCTTATATTTCTATCTTTCTCAACACATATAAAAACATTTGCGTTTATTAACGAATTTACGTGAAATAAGCATTGTTCTGAGAGAGTTACTCCGTTGCTCGATCTGTGCGGGATCGGAGCTCGCCGATTAGAAAAATACACGTATCTTCGCTTTAAATACAAATATGCCCATGGTAAGGCATTTAAAATGAAGATTATGTTTCTATCTTTCTTGAGACGTATAAAAATCTTACGTTTATTAACGATTCTGCGTGAAATAAGCATTGTTCTGAGATGAATATTGCGGATTTCCGGCTCTACGACCGATGAAAAATGCAACTTTTATACAACTACAAATATCTTTAGTTTTACTATAAATTTTGTCCTGAAAGAGTTTTCATATATAGATCCAGTTTCTGCCGTTCTTCTGACATGAAAAGACCTTTGGTTTAATAAGTTATTAAGATGTTTTCAACAATATTACTAGGGCGTTCACCGATTCTAACATGGGCGACCCTTTTGGAAACGCAACACATGGGTTGACCTGATTGATATATGGGTCAGATTCCATTAAGGTTCGGAACATATACATGTACTCACCTAGTTGTGTTTGCGGGGGTTGAGCTCTGGCTCTTTGGTCCCGCCTCTCAACCGTCAATCAACAGGTGTACAGATTCCTGAGCCTATCGGGCTCTGTCATATCTACACTTGAAACTGTGTATGGAGTCAGCCTCCACCACATCACCCCCTATATATGCATGCATATATGTACTCGCCTAGTTGTGCTTGTGGGGTTGAGCTTTGGCTTTCTGGTCCCACCTCTCAACCGTCAATCAATTGATGTACAGATTTCTGAGCTTCTCGAGCTCTATCATACCTACATTTGAAACTTGTGTATGGAGGCAGCCTCCACCACATCACTAACTAGTGCATTCCATTTACTAACTACTCTTGACACTGAAAGTTCTTTCTAATGCCTCTTGACTCATTTGGGTATTCAGTTTCCATTTGTTCCCTGTGTATGCATGTATCTATGTCCACCTGTATGCATGTATGTACTCATCTTGTTGTGCTTGCGGGGGTTGAGCTCTGGCTCTTTGGTCCTGCTTCTTGACTGTCAATCAACTGATATACAGGTTCTTAAGCCTACCGCGCTCTTATCATATCTACACTTGAAACTGTGTATGGAGTCTGCCTCCACCACATTACTACCTAATGTATTCCATTTGTCAGCTACAGTATTGACACTAAAAAAAAATTCTAATGTCTGAATGGCTCATTTGGGCACTCGGTTTCCACCAGTGACTCCTAGTGGTGTGCCTCTTGAGTTAAATAGTACGTCTTTATCTACCCTATCTATTCCTTCGAGAATCTTATATGTGGTGATCGTGTCCCCTCTAACTCTCCTGTCTTCCAGTGACGTGAGGCTTAATTCCCGTGTCTCTCCTCATAGCTCATGCCTCTTAGTTTGGGTACTAGTCTAGTGGCAAACCTTTGAACCTTTTCCAGTTTAGTCTTATGCTTGACTAGATATTTAGTCTTATGCTTAGCATATGCTTTTTAGACTGGCATATGCTTTTTAATATGGAAAATTAGACATATCATGTGGAGCATAAGAATGCACATCATAACTACCAAAGCATCATTATCACCTTGCAGCAGATTGATGAAGAAAAGGATCTTGGAGTTAGAATCTACCAGTCACGGAAAGTTGCACAACAAGTGGGAGATGCAATGAAAAAGCAAACCAAACCCTATGAATTGTCAAATGAACCTTTAACTTAAAGGAAAGGATGAGAGTTATTCAACAGTATAAATCTTTGGTATGTCCCACCTGGATTATTGTATCCAAGCAACCTGATTTTCAGAAAGTAACTAACTACTTTCTCCAAAGTTCAACACAGACTGATTCCAGAACCAAGTCGATTATGATACCAAGAGCAGTTGAGGGCCACAAGGGCTAACAACACTGCAAACCAGACATGACAGGGCTGATCTGACTGAAACTTGAAAGCTGAACAGTTTGGATCAATAAATACTACTACCACTACTAAAGGTCAGATGTAACACAAACAAGGAACAATGGTTTCAAGCTCAACAAGCTACAGTGCAGGACAGAAAACATTTTTTCAGCCATAGGATTGTAAACATATGGCACCACTTACCCGCTGAAGCCGTAAATGCCAAAAACGCTGCTGCAATTCAAAATCCAGCTTGATAAAATCAAGACAAATGGGGGACCTTTGACAAGCTGCTGGCTTCCTTTCCTCATTGAGGCCACTAGATAGTTGCCCTCGGGTAAAATTCAGGAAACCAGAAGGTATCTCACCATTAGGGAAGGGCAACTACAAAAGTCATTAAGAGAAAAGGTTTTAGGAGTAGATATAATTCCAATGCTTATTTCCAGGGGCACCCAAACAAGGTAACATCTGTAGCATATGGGATGGTGACAAACATTAGAACATTTTGAAACCAAAATCAGGACTCCTTCATGGCTATCTATACAACCTTTGTCAGACCAAGATGCCTGGAATCTGCATCTTGCAAAGCATCAAACCAAAATTGAGAAAGTACAAAGGTTTGCATCAAGATCAGTGCCAAAGCTAAGAGGACTAAGCTGTGAAAATAGGTTAAGGGAACTAGACCCCACATCCTTGGAGAAGAGAAGAAACGGGGGACACGATTGCAACATAAAAGATACTGAAAGAAATTGAAGGAATGTAAGGAGATACAGAACTGGTACTCTGTATGGGTGGTCAACAAGTGGAATGTGTTAAAAGAAAAAGTTGTGGTCTCCATCCATAACTTTAAAGCAAAATTTGACAACAAAATTTGAATGTCAGACTAGTTAAATTATAACAACATATACAACAAAGCTAGTAGGCAGGGCATACTTAAACCTCACTTCCTCAGTCACTGATAGGCAAGTGAATTTCATGAAGTTTTTAGAATAATTTCAATGTAATTCCTGTTATTGGGGACAGGAAGTCTGTACTTAGGCTTCCCTAGGCAAGTACTGACCTTTCCAAGGATGCAACCCACAACAGTTGCCTAGATCCTAAGTATCTATTTACTGCTAGGTGAATAGGTACATCAGGTGAAAGGAAATGTGCCCAATCATTTTTGTCCTGCCTGGGATTAAAATCCTGGTCCTTGGATTGTGAGCCAAAGACTTGATGTAATTTTTGTTGTAAATATAATATACTGTATAAATGATAACGTCCATATTTAAAAATTAATCAAATTTGACCTTGTATTTCAGGTCCAAGATGAAATATGTGGTGTACCCATGCCTGCTGGCATGGCTGAGTGTGGGGACACAAGCAGCTTCCTGTCCCATTCTTAAATTAAAGCAACAATTTTCTATAGATAAGGTAAGCTTTACAATTTACTATAGAAATAGTGAGCAAGTTTTTCTTTGACAAGAGACTCTTTTTGTTACTTTGTGATCCTTACCTTGAGGTTACCTTGAGGTGCTTCCGGGGCTTAGCGTCCCCGCGGCCCGGTCGTCAACCAGGCCTCCTGGTTGCCGGACTGATCAACCAGGCTGTTGGACGCGGCTGCTCGCAGCCTGACATACGAATCACAGCCTGGTTGATCAGGTATCCTTTGGAGGTCCAATGGTAAGGATGGTAAATCTTAACATCGAAACATTTAACAATTCTCAAGCATGTAGCTTGACATTTACTGTTTAGTTAATACTAAATTAATTTAGGTAAGGTATCTTTTCCAGTACATGGGCGTGTGGTACGAAATCCAGGCCCAGCCCAGCATATTCCAGACAATAAAATCGTGTTTATCTAGCACGTACACCTGGGATGGGAAGGATGTACAAGTTTACTCTGAAGGACTAGACTCCAAAGGTGCTCCAGTGTTAACAAAGTCTACTTTGAAAATTGTGGATCCACAAAATCCAGCTCATATGATTACAAATTTTGTTCCTGGAGGTCAGTATTACTCAACCATATTTTCATTGCCATTCACTTGCTACTGCTCTGTATTGATCAGTCTGAGTCTCCTGGTGGCATCTCGGTTATTTTCCCTGGTCAAATCTTTTTGTGCTCCTTTCCCCAGAGACGAGTAGCTTTACAAGGTGCTTTATGCAGTTACATTAAAGATCTTAATGTTCATTTGCTATTGTGGTCTACTCGGTGTTCACAATGCTTGCATGGCCCTGGAGTCTTTTTACCCATTCACATCCAGTGGTGATAGAAATCCAGTGTCTGTCCATCTTTAGTAGATATGAGACAGGCTAAATTTGCTGGGTTCCCAGCCATAGTAGTGTTGCCTCAAATGACCTCGGATACCACCACTAAAGAGGGTATTCATGCCCACGCCATCTCCTAGAATAAAATTCATTTCTTGGATTTCTACCGTCATTCATAATGCCGTCTGAAACTGTTGGAATGAAAATGGTCAGTTACTACGAATTCAAAATTATGTACGTACAATATCGTGCTATCAGTTATGCCTATTCCTGTGGCCTTCCTCCTGCCACCGAAATAAGAAGTGGGGAAATTTGTTGGATTGGGTTTCGGTACAGTACTCGAATACTGGCCCCACATGATTAACTAATGGGCATTAAATGGAAAAAAAAAAAGTCAACACTTTAATATCAGAACTGTTGTCTCCCTAACAGTTGCACACTCATAGCATGTCTTGATATTCAGAAATTGAAGTTTTACTTTGTCATGTCACTTGATAAAATCCTCAGTGAGTCTGACTCCTTTGACATATCTCATCTTGACTTTCTGCTCTCGTATTAGTCTCCTGAACGATATTTAGGAGCTTGTGGATATTCTGCGACATAGATGGTTCTACATTATCTTCCTAGTTTGGTGCCTTCTTTTGATAATTACTTGCCTATGTATTATTCAGGCATTGTAAATCATCCGAGAGGTAAGTAAATTGGTTTCTTTAATGGAAATAAAAGTATTGAAAATGTCCATTTTCTCTGACTAATGGACAGCTGTATTGATAGGGTGAAAATTTGTATTCTTATTCATATACAAAGGCATACCACTTAGAAGGAACTCGGCTTGCGAGAATGAACTACGATCAAATATTTTCTGTATGACACCTGGCTGGATTTAGAAGAGTTGGGTTCACAATACTATACGAAATGTGTTTTGAGGTGTAGAGGATGATTTAAAAAAATAGTGTCAATATGCACAATTTATCTTTGAATTTGAGGAGAAGCATAAGGTTCATTGATTAAGAGATTGACATTGTGTGGGAAGCATTCAGATAATGGAAGTCTGTTTAAAGGCTAAAAGTTATGGGATCTTAACTTCTCATTACTTGAAGTTACAATCAGATTCTTCCTGTGCTCAGTGATGTCATATCAGATTGACAACTGTTTAAATGTTAATAAACATTTGACAGGTTGTATTTAAAGGCAAGGATTGCTAGTATTTAAGCATGAGGCCAAGTACAGAAACTATACAGTTAATGTAGCTCAGTAAAGCTGTCTTAATATTTAGCACTTACTTCAAAAACAAGAGACAATTAACTTAGCAAGATAAAATTAAATTGGATAATTGAGTTATTTTCACTAGCAACTTGAACTTTAACTTTTAATATTAATTTCAGTTCAGCCCCCATTTGACATTGTGGACACAGACTACCTGACCTTCTCCTGTGCACACTCGTGCCTCTCTGTTGTGGGCATCAAGACAGAATTCGTCTTTGTGTACGCTCGTAACCGCTCACTCAGTCAAGACATTATTCAACACTGCCGTGCCATATTTAAGGTATGTTTCTTTTACACGTCATTGATTTTTATTTATACATTAAAATATATGTTTATAATTAAATTTGCAATTATTTTGCCATATTTTAAGATTCAAGTCTGTACCAGTCATGCAGAAGGACGTCTTTGCCATTCATGTAGTATGACACGTACTGTCTAATGGACACAGACATCCTATGCAGTACTTCACAATATACTTAGCCAATCACTCAATAAATATGATATACCATGACCACCTGGACTGGTCACTTATAAACAATGTACAAATTAACATTAAGATTTGCATAGAAAGTAAGGCAGGCATTTGTGTGTGTTTACGCAATACAGTATGTTGTTCATATTGCAGAGTTACGATATTGATGTATCGACCTTGGTGAGCACTCCTCAGGACGGCTGTCATGAGCACACAGATCTATAATTTCTACATCAGACATTATGGGTAATAGAAGGTATGATGAGAGAGATGTTAGAAAACGTAATCAAATAGAAGAAAATGATTAAAATATAGAGGAGCCACATTCATCGTGTAAGCAAGTTATTGGCAGATAAGTTCGGTAAGAATTATAAACAGTGGACAGATTGAGTTTGGAAAGATTCAGACTGTTGTCTAAAGTAAAGTTCACGATTGTAATTAATATTGCAAATAAAATATATGAATCAAAATACTCTTCCTTACTGGTACACAAAACAATCATTTTAAACCATGAAGTTTATATGGTTTACATACTACTGTATACAGTATGCAGTATAGTATGTATTTACAGTACATGCATAAATTATCTAATTGTACTTACGCTTTTCAGTCGTATTTATAACCGTATATAATTTATGGAGTTTCATTCCCCAACTGTTCTATTGCTGAAGAAATGTTATTCAATATTGGTGTGCCTTGATTTTGATAGTCGGTAAGATTTCTACCAATTTAATTCAAATCTATTTTATTACACAGGTGGGTACAGTAATATATAGCTTTTGATGGAGTTAGCAACCTTAGAGCTTTCCCATAGCTCATATTTAGCTTTACCCAACTAGTTTTCCCTAGAACACGACCTGTTACTTGGTTAACATCTAGGACAGGCTCGCCATAGCCCGTGCTACTTGGAACTTTTTATTCAAAGTAGGCTGAATTTAAAGCAGACCTGGATGTTTTGTTGTTCTAAGTACTGCTGGGTTCCCCCCCCCCCCCTCCCTGGCCAGAGAATGAGCCCAGACAAAATTGCTCAGCACCAGCAGGGTGGGTTACTTCTGTGCCACAGGTGTGAATATATATATATATAATAAACATGTACAAACTACTGGTACTGAGGTGTTATGCTGTATAACAATGGTAAAAGGAAAGATTCTTGAAATTATAAATTTATTTTAGTGTTTCAATGTAATCTTACATGATCATCAGGAACCATTTCAATAAGTAACAATAATCTAATAGATTAAATGAATGTCACTGTCAAACAACAATATTTACCAAAAATGTTTAAGATGCCTTATGCACTACATGTTTAGTAGAAAATGGCTTATCAAATTTGACAAACCATACAAAAATAACAATGGAATGGGTAACATACAAATGTTTTTAAAGGTGTTACTGTCTTGAATACATGTTTAAAAATCTAACATATTGCAAATTTGTAATGATTGAACAAACTGACTACAAATAATAGAAAACTCAAAATTGTTTATAAGATTAAAACATTTGAGACAAAGAACTGAATTGGGAACTTAACCCAAATTTACAGACTTGTATAAAATTTATTTTAACGAAACATGCAAGTCAACTATTATGATGGCTTAATTTTATATAAACTATAGTACCGATATAAGCTAAATTTTAAAATAAATTTTGTAAATATTATGACCTAGAGTTTGTAGAAGATTTCTTGAAAAGTAAATGAGAGGGTTAGACTAAATAAACTGTCTAAAAATCTTTAGTTCACAGGATCTAATTTTAAAGTTTCAAAATGCACTGTCCCATTTTGGAAATTGCTTTAGCATGGCAAGAGGACACATGCATGCCACTTACTGGTCAACAAGGGTGGTGTCTTTCATGATACTGTGGTGATGGGCAATTGTGTCGAGGCTTGGTATTTGTTTGGGTCATTAGACCACTAATCAGAGAACTGCCAGGAATGGATGGTTATAAGTGTATTGGCTAGGAAGTCTGTCCTGTTGTATACAAATGGTTTTTTTTTATTTGGATTGATCTTTCCTGTTGGAAATGGGTAGTGCTACTCAGGACAAGGTGCACAGGCTTTCTGCCCTGGTAAGTGGTACAGCGATCATAGCCTAGTTTCCCTTATTGTTTCATTTATTCTCTTCACATGTGTGGCAGGCAACTGGGCCCATGGGAAAAAGCAACTTGGCTGTTCAATGGCATCTGTGCTGGGCTCGTCTTGGCTCTATCCAGTTTTAGGCATTTAAAGTACTGCTCCCTTTGTAGGGAGCACTACTACTTGATATAGCAGTAGTGGTTGTTTCTACAACTCAACTCAATGATCAACTCATCTCTTATTAAACTTGATTGTAGTGGTGGTGTATGCCCCCTCACTACTGCTAGCGGGCTGCAGCAATGTACTTTTCCTTTAGCTCCACTCCGCTCTCGTGCCATTCACACACACACTAAATGATTATTGGTCCAAAAATGTGGATAAAATGTTTTTCTTAATTATACTAACAAGCATCCGATGGTTAATTTCCAACTGCATACTAACCTATTTTAATCTGCTGGCTCAAATGTTACCTTCTGTCACAGATAGTCTGGTATGTGCAGTCTGAATTTCCAGCCTTACTTAGTCACAAAATTTATGGCTGAATACGTATGGATACTGCTATTCTTCCACCATATCTTGCTATTGGAGACTGGGATCTTTGAGGCAATCTGAATATCATAGCCCCTGGTACCCCAAGATTGCTCACGTTCACCCACACTCATGGTAAATGTATCGAGTAATTATCCAAAGAAAGCACCATCTGTGTTGCAGAACAATAAAAAATTCCTCGATCATTCAGAATGCAAAAATATGAACAATGTTGATTATATTAAGGAATATATCAACGAACAAATGAGTCAAAGGAGGATTAGGAAACTAAAATTTGATAGTCATAATCGGGACATTCAACGAGGCGTGCAACTATTAGTGGCACAATGTAATTCTAACAATAATGCACATGTTTGCTCAATTAAGTACCCACAAGTTAACTACATGTGGCCAAAATATAACCCAACCATTTTTTATGAATTCCCCCCCCCTCATTTGTACCCAACCACTTGAAAATAACATCGCGAGTAAAGCTAAGACCCAACCAAAGCTGCTCCACAGCCATATCAGGTGGAAAACAGAGGTGAAGGAACAAGTAATGAAACTGAGAAAAGGGGAGAATAGATACACAGAATGACAAGGTGGTGCGTGAAGAACTCAACAAGAGATTCCAGGAGGTCTTCACAAAAGAACAAGAAGCCCCTGTGCTAAATGAGGAAGAGGCAAACCAAGCAACCTTGGAGGATTTTGAACTCCAGTGATGAGGTCAATAGGAATCCGATGGAACAGAATGTGACAAAGGCTGTTGGGCCTGACGGAATCTCACTGTGGATACTAAGAGGTGCAGAAGCACTAAGCGTGCCACTATCTGGTGTACAACAGGTCACTGTTAACTGGAGACCTACCAGAAAGCTGGAAGACGGCTAATGTAGTCCCAATATATAAAAAGGGTGGCAGGGAAGAGGCACTGAACTACAAGCCAGTTTTCCTAACTTGTATACCCTGCAAGGTGATGGAGAAGATCGCGAGAAAAAGGCTCATAGAGCATCTGGAAGGAAATAGCTGTGTAGCACACCACCAGCATGGGTTCAGAGATGGTAAATTGTACCTCACAGGGTTAATAGTTCTATGACCAAGCAACAAAAATTAGGCAAGAAAGAGAAGGGTGGGCAGACTGCATTTTCTTGGACTGTCAGAAAGCTTTTGACACAGTACCCCATAAAAGGCTGTTACGAAAGTTGGAGCAACAGGCAGGAGTAAAAGGTAAGGTGCTCCAGTGGACGAGGGAGTATCTAAGCAACAGGAAACTGAGTAACTGTGAGGAAAGGGGGGGAGACAATAAATTTCCACCAATTTCTTTGGAACATCTTCAGTTAAGGAATGAAGATTCAGAGTGGAATGAAACACTGTAGAAAATGTACCCTTCAATAATCATTAGTTTCTTTACCATGAATCTCAGTAACTCGATTGCTCTTCTTAATCCCGAGAGTAAGAAAATAGTTAAAGCATAGAAAGCTTATAAGATCAACAATGCCAGCAATGTGGTTATATTTAACCAAATATATACTGTAGTTAACATATAAACTCTCTAGTTTATATGTTAACAGGACCATGCCCATTAATATTGAACATCTCTAAAATACACAATACAGTCATTCAAATATTTGTTAAAAATTCATCTACCAAAACGGGTAAACCTAAAGATAAATCACAAAGTATATGAGGTTCTACGCTTGTAAAGAAATCCAAGAGATAGTACTGTACATGCAAAAACAATGTACTGTCAGACAAGTAAAGAGATAGCACTGTACATCACTCATTACCTAACAAATGTTTTCCATCTGAATGCTACAAAACTTACTTTTTTTTAATACTCTTCTGTACGAAAAATACATCTAATTTAGCATTATTCGTAATTTTTGTGCAAAGTGGCAATAGATGCAAATACTGTAATAAATTTTAAAACCATATAGTTGAAGCTAGATAAAGAAATTTTAATGTCTGGTTCTTAATTATTTCTAAGGTATCTTTAAATATTTAATCAGTTTAAATTGCCAATATTTATATAAGTGCATTCTAAAGAACTTACATTACTATATCTTAAAAGGCAAACATCTTGAAATAATGTTTATTCAGAGATTTTACATCAGCATTCAGTTTGTTAATTTTAAATATCATTTTTCCATTCTTGTATAAGCATATGCAGTATATTTTTGTTTGATGTACTGACAATCTTGTATACTGTATTTTAATCTCCTAAACTAATTATTAATTACGGGCTCACCATAGCCCGTAGCAAATCTTAAACAACAACTAATTATTATTTTTTAAAAATAAAGATTATATTTGTAACATTTCATGATGTAAACATTACATTGAAACATTGAAAATAAAATTTATAATTTCAATACTCTTATTTTTTCATTCATAATGAAACAAGCCTTTCCTGATGTGGCTGCCCAAATGTTTTGCACTGGTACCCTGAAGCCATTACTCTCTCGCCAAACTAACTATATATATAATATATATATATATTATATATACAGTATATATATATGTTGTACCTAGTAGCCAGAACATCGTACTCTGCCTACTATGCAAGACCCGATTTGCCTAATAAGCCAAGTTTTCCTGAATTTATATATTCTATTATATTTCTTATTAAATGATATACATAATGAAATAGCCAGATTTAAGTTAATTTGTTTAAATTTGAGTTAAAACTAATCTAGATAGTAGTCTAAAAATGGTTCATTGCCTGAAAAAGCTGTTTCCCAAGATGAAGGCTCAGCTAGAACAATAATCCAAAAGAAAATGTGGTTACGTCCCACAAAAGTTATGCCAAGCCACCCCAGAGCATGGCAGAGGCAGTAGAGGACCCATAGGAGAGCATAAAATGCCATAACAGTTGTGAGAAACCCACAGACCACCTGCCCACAAAGACAGGAACCCAAAACTGAAAAGATGATAAGATATGAACACAAACCAAGCCCAAGAAGAAAAAATAAATCAAGAAATCCAAAGCCGAGACCACAGTCCATAACGCATAAAGGAAGCAGAACCCAGAAGGAAAAAAGAGAGCTAAGGGAGTCATAGACAGCAGACCAACTGGGATCACAGAAACCCTGAGACTGGGGAGCCAATAAACAAGTCACGGCCAAAAGTTTCAGAGCAATATCCGAAGTAGGCCCTGCTGACTGAAACATGGGAAGCAAGATCATGAAAACATGCTGCAGGGCATAACTGATCCATGAAAATGAGATGTGAAAACACACCCACTGGAATTAGTGGAAGAGACCCTAGTACTAGACAAGGAGGACCAAACAACCCTCCATGAAATCAAGCCCTTTGGCTTAGTTACAACAAGGCAGTCAAGAGGGAGGAGATAGGGCACAACCCTTGGGCCTTTCCAGTAAACTCCTTAAGCCTCAAAAACCCACCCTTGCTGAGAGAGAAAGGGTAAGTGGTGGAGCCTACAACACCTCCCCCCTGGATCTAAAACCAGGAATGAGAAATGAAGGTAAACACCAGGCACAAAGCCATTAAACCCCACACCCCTTCCTCAACACTCGCTTACCCAAACTGGGAGTCTAAAATCTCACAAACCCTGATCAAAGCTAGATGCACAGTAGGGAGTCATTCAGAGAATACCCAAGAGCAAGATCAAGCAAGTCCCTTAGCAGCGAGGACTTTCACACCTGGATGAACATGGCAAAAGCATTCAAGTGTGTGTCAACCCACCGGGTTACTGTACCAGAATTCAAGGTAATCAGTGGAATGAGTAACATACAAGCAACATGATGGATTGTTGCCTTTTTCATGTTGCATAAGGAAATATTTTAAGAAAAAACACAGGCTACGAAGAGAAAGTGGAACCTAAAACAACACTATTACAGAGGGTGCTACATGTCACAGGCCTACTAAAGGCAGAGAACAGCAGGAACCCATCTGGTAAATTATGGCATCCTCCGCAGGATAACCAGTCATATACAAAAATGGGTTGTGAAGCCAAGACAAAATGTTTTAAAACAGAAACAAGATTCAATGAATGAGAAGAGAGAGAACAAAAACAATGGGCCCTGATGTCATGTTCTGAAAGGCGAGTGAGAGGGGTTCACCCAGGTAACCCCTGGCTACACCTGGTGGCATTCACATTCATCATGGTTAGGGTGTTAACACAACACAACACAACAACATATAGATCAGCCATGATAGATCACAACAGCCATGATAGATCGGTCTTGTTGCCTTTGGGTACCTGATTTTCTTCAAATAGTAGCTTGTTTTGTTGCACTTATGCTTTCTGGTGGGGTTTTCTTGGTTTTAGGTTGATTGACCCCCAAGATACCCTCACCTTGCAGAGTGAAGCAGATTCTGGCTCTGGCTCCCAGTAGGCAAGGGTGGGTCTCGAGGCCTGGTGCAACCCTCCCCCCCCAGGCATGGCTAGACCAGCACTTGGGAGCTACTGAGGAGGCCCTCCTAGAAATAAATGCAAGACAATAGATAATGGAATAGTAAAAAAAAATGTTTTAATTTCAAATCAAGTTACTGGTGAATAAGGTGAATTGTCATTAAGAGCAGCTGCATTTATGAGAGATTTGCACTGAAGAAGCTGGTAAGAAAAAGTAAGAAAGAATGGTGATTGTATGGCATTTAGACTATGAGAAAGCACAGAATAAAGTAAACTGAAAGGTTCTTTGAAGAGTTTTGAGCATGTACAGGGTTGGTGAAATATTTGTGAATGCTGCCAGGAGCTTTTATGTAGGAAATAGAGTACAGTATTTGTCAGCATTAGTGGTATGATGTGTTGCTACTGTGGTATTAATGTAGGAGTGTGCCAAAGATACTCAATGCATAAGTAGGGGAAAAGAAATAAATGGCATACATATAATCTGATGCAGATGATACAGTTTGTCAAGCAGATACCGATAGATATATTTGCAGATGGATTTAAAGTTTTACTTATGTACATGAAAGAAAACTGCTAAGAATGAGTGTGGATAAATCTATAATAATAGCAGTGGGGCCATAAGAAACTAAAGTGTGTGTGAAATAGGGAGTAAACTGAGAGTCCTAGAAGTGGTTATCAGATTAAATACCTGGGGCACTGAGTCATAAAGACTTCAGCAGAAGTTGCGTCGAGTAACTTAGAACAGGAAAGTGTCTGATACAGTGAAAACTAGTTACATGTCAGTAATGGCTATCCTTGTATATGACTGCAAGATGCTGGTATGGAGTGTGCACGAAAATCCAAGAGTTCAAGCCATTATAAAGGACAATCTAAAATGCACTTGTGTTAAAGATTATAAAAGCAGAAAGTTAAAAATGTTATGGAAACATGAATTACAGAAGTTAGTAAATCATAAGCGAGTTTATCAAGATGGCTTTATTATACCGAATGCATGGTGATATAATGCAGCATAATGCATCTGAGTAAATTTGAAAGAAGGATGAAGACCAAGGATAGATATTGCGAGTGCTCAAGTACACAGGGATCGAGTGCAAAAGATGGCAGAGAAGTGATAAGGAATAAGGCTAAATGGAATCAATTTGTCAAGTGTGAGTGAATGACATTTTGATGACAACTCACAGGAAGCACTTTCACCTGGTTGTATAAGGTGGTGGGGGTGCTGCTGGAGTGCGACACTGCTGGTTATACGTCGTGCGTCGTGCTGGTGTTCGTCGTGCGTCGTGCTGGTGTTCGTCGTGCGTCGTGCTGGTGTACATCGTGCTGGTGTATGTTGAACAGGTTATGCGTCGTGCTGGTGAACATTATGTGGAAAATTTGGCAAATGGATGGAGTGGTTTTTTCGTACATCTTCAGTCTTCTTTATCTATTTGCCCTCTTATTTCTTCCAGGCTGATGCCTCCCTACATTATAAAAATGGGAAACATGGCAGTGCTGTAATGATGGGGATGATGGTTCCACTTCGACAGTAGATTTTTTCCAATTTCACAACATCAAGAGAAATTCATTAAAAAAAATATTGAAATCATGAAGGATAAATTACTTTTTGAATGTTAAAATTTTCCCACACCCACCAGTTGATATACAGGCTTAACTATGTTAGCCAAGAAGGTGCAACCTTGAGGGGCATGAACTGTATGCCTTTGACCAACAATATTCATCACTGTCAGCCATATGTACAGAAGCTATTCTGGCACAAAACCACACCAGACTACGAATATTATCACAAAGAAAACCCAAATCACAATCATTTAAGGTAACACAAGCTAAAAAAAAAAAAAAATTGTTCTTCGTGCTCGGATAATTTAAAAAACTGTCACATTCAAGCACACAGTGCCACCCCCTTATGCACAGTCTTCCCCTAAAACCATCTCATTTACTACCATACCAAAATTAATGAAGGTTATACAACTGGATAAATTTATAATTTAACATTAGTCACATACCTCCAATGCTAAAAATGCTTAACAGCAAAAATAAACATTGAAAAAATAATAGGATGGGATAGGAAGAAAAGATTTGGACTCTTGAAAACCTGTATTTTTAAAGTTAACAAACGCAACAAGTAATGTTCTTTCCTATTAACAATAGAAGCCATTTGTTTATATCCACGAAAAATCTAAAGTACTACGCGCGTTCGAGTGCGTGGGTAGTGGCAGAGTTTCAATAGCTGCATTAGCGCTTGGGATATTTTCCCTACACGCACCACAACAGTGGCCAAACAGTGGGTTGGTCTTCCCATTTTTCTTTTGCTATATGGAGTGTTCCTTGGCTAGCCGCTCCACACTGCACAAACAACCCACGAACCCCCACACACACACACACATCAGATAATGGACAAAGAGAAGAAGTACAAGGCCTTTTCTTATCAAACTTCCACTGATCTTACACTTCCTCAGTCCTAGAATTAGTTGACAAACAAAAGGTTAAAGTTGTGTCGTGGCTGACATGAGACGAGCATCACAAAATGACTGACTGAAGATTTACACAAGGTTTAATCTTGGTTATCTCTACCAGTTTACATTAACATTTATTGGATTTACAACATTTCAGTATTTAGAAAATCTTTCACTTTCTCTACAGAAAAGAATGAAATAACTGTTCGCTATTGACTACAATTTGTTATGTGTAATGGTTTGGTGAACAGCCCAGAGAACTGACTTAAAACTAATGCATATTTGCCACACCTAAGAACAGGATGGGAGCGGGCAGACCACGCACACAGACACCGAGTCAACCTGGAGTGGGGAGTTGTGATGGTGGAGGGGTAATGGTATTTAAGATGGAGGGGGGGGGGGGGAGATAAGGAGAGGACTAGGTAGAGCAAGTATGAGGGAATGAGGGGGGGGGGGGAGGGGTGAGATGCTGCCAGACTCAACTGACAGAGCATCCCCAAAAAGTGAGGTGAGGGTCCCCCTGTAGGTCCAACTACAGAACTGTAGTCCAAAGTCCTCAACATACCCAAGGTCAGGTAAGCTGGTGTTGCAGGGATGTGACAAATTCTTAGGGTTTACTCCTAGGGCGACTGTACTCCACTGCAGGCCTCTGGAGTGCTCCACACATGGGCACAACAATAAGGATTGGTTCCATTGGCTAGCCAACATTGTAACAGGTGATAAGGTTGGAAACAACCGTGCACCACTTTATTTGTAATATTGTAATTACATAACATGACAATTACCTTCAGTGATTGAATTATTGACAAGCATCATCACTATTATATATATTTCAAAACAACTATTGCTCCATAAAAACGACCCCCATGATGTTAGGATTATTAGTATTAAATGCAAAGATGTCTAATTAAACCTAGACATCAGTGGTGGTTGTGTGGGGTGAAGTCGGGCTTATAACAAGGCTGGCTCCACCACACAACTTTTAGCAACGCAATGATCATACCACTTAAGCTAAGAGGTACCATCTGTCATACAACCTAGGACTCATCTTTCATACACAGCAAATGGACAAAACAATACTGCCAAACATAAACAAAACAGAGATGTATAGACTCTAGCATCAGGAACAGCCAACATGGTTTTAGAAAACAAGAACCAAGAACATTCATGAATATACAAGTTTCCACAACTTCCTTAGAGAGGTTTAAAACATCCTTTGACTACAGGTATAATGGTAATTTGTCCTTAGTATTGTTCAACAGATCTAACCCTCTGGCAAAAACCCTTTACCATTTCTATAATTGGTAGACTATGCAATAACAACCCTTACTATACACAAGACTATTAACAGTAGGACATGATGAAACAAGGGGCGCGGCACACTGTTAAGTGAGTCCTTGGCATACACCAGTAAGTGTGGCTGTGCACCATACACAGGCAAAAGTTACAGCACAGGTGGGTGTGCCCTTTTTGGGTGTATGTTTAGGGTGGGTATCTGCATGTGAGCATACCCCCAGGAAGACGAAATAGTTGTGGGAGCCGAGTCCACTGTTACTAGTGGAACAGTACAGCACCCACAACCGTTGTTCCTCCCATATATGAGATGTCACTGCCCTAACCAAACTGAGGCACCCTGATTATCGCAGTCAGTCACTTTCAATTTCAGCATAGCCCAGCACCTAGGCACCACACTGCAGGCGGCGCCCACTAGCTGCTACAGTGGTGAACAAAGGCTTTCGTTGCTGCTGCTGCTGTTGCTGCTGCTGCTGATCACACTACCGATGCTGCCAACGCTGTTACTGCTGCTGGAGGTGCAGTTGGCCCTGAGAGAGTGGCAATGGGGCCTAAACTGGGGCCTATACAGCAGTCTCAGTGTGGCTGTGTGAGGACAAGCGTTCCACGTCGATCTCGGGTACTGTTAGCTCCTCTGGATCTGGACACATGTCTGCATATTCCAATGAAGACCCCTGAGACAGCCGCTTGCTCAAGGATGACTGCTTCTTCAGCACTGCCGCCAGATTCGGGTTGGAAGGCCGAGCATCAAGCCCCTGTCGAAACGCATTAACTACTCGAATCTGTGGGGAGAGGTCATAAAGTTTATTTTAGTTGAGGTTCAAGGTTAGGCCACAGATGCCTTGGACACAACTAAACCACGTACAAAACACCAAACAAGGAGAAACACTAGCTACATTGGTCCAAGGCACTTGAACACTCAAAAGGAATGAGCCATGGGAATAAAAACAAGTAAAAATTTTGACTTTTCACTGAAACATGAGACATAATTGGCAAAGTGTTCTTTAAGACGAGGGCTTAACTTGACTGTGAGGGTTACTGTGAGAGCTGCTGACAAGTGAGAGGGTGAGGAGTGTGCCTTGCTGCCAACCACGGAGCGTAACAGCATCAGCAGTGAGCGGCGGGGGCGAAGAAGCTCACCCGCCGCTCGCACACACACAAGCAGAAAGTCATGCTCATTGCAAAGATCCCATGCCAAACTTGAACCGTGTACTGCATCTTCATTAGCTGGCTTATACAGCCTGTTAGGTGCCAATACAAAGAAGAGAGTTATGATGGTTAGTATGTAAAAAGTTAGAAAACAGAGGTTAAAACCATTCACAAAGTCAGTTAAGATATTAAAGTAAAATTAACAATAAATAGATCGTGCACTTATACAGAATACTTGAGAGTGTTGCTGGCTGCCATAGGATCTACACGAGTGACGGAGCTCTGTGGCTCTTACGCCGGTGGACACACACTTCACACATCAAGACAAAGAGTTGGCAGCCAGAGAACGTGGGCACTGCATGTTGGCTGGAGGCTCTCCATAGTGCGCGGCTCATGCGGACATGCGCGCGCCCGGATACAGACCCACTACCGCTTCAATGCTTTCCAACCCTGCTGCTGCTCTTGTTGTTGGTAGCATTTCCATACAGCAGCAGCAGCAGCAGCAGCAGCAATTATATTGAAAAAGGAGGAAGATTATGGAAAATGAGCAGCCCAGCAATGTTGGCGGCAGGAAGCCAGTCCGGGGCATGTGCCATCAGTGGTGCGTGCACCAAGTTATTAGCTCACACAAACACTCAAAACAGTATGGGCATAGGCAGTTACATCACACCCAATCCCACAAGTCCATCCAGTCAAAACGTAAGGGTGGGGGATCTGTAGGACAGGGCGACTACACCAAGATCTGCAGGGACCACACTTTTGGCATTACCACTGACACACAGTCAAAGCATGCTGCCATGCACACCATCCACTCCAACAGTTACTAAGAAAACATGTATGACAAAATAATCTAGTTGCCATTAATAACATCTTGTTATATATTTATATAAATAAATATATATATATATATACTGTATACAGTTTATATATAAATATATATATACACACCTGATAATCTGACAATACATTACAATGTAATAAGACACAAAAACATTTGTTTTCTTGCCACAAAATGACACTCAACACTGGCGAAACAGACAAGTCTAGTCTAGCAGTGCCATCTAATTCACCTAGGTCTAGGTCACAAGTCACACTAGTCATGCAGGAACAGTTCAAGGAAGTCATACATGGCTGGATGGAAGCAAAAAAACAGATATTTAATTCATAAAAATCAACATAATTGAGGTCTCTTACACAATTTTCTTTATTTGTTCTACTGACGTGAGTGAAGACATGCACTTTCTCTGGTCATTTATTGTCATTTAGGGGGGCGTTTAATATTTAAGAAAAATATTAGTAAAGAGTAACCAATGCTTATAGCTTGGGAATGGGACTGTGTAAATTGTTCTGTGTAAGAGACAGCTTGGAGGCATGATAGGATGGTTTATATTCAACAATTATTTACCTTTTTTGGTTATGGAACACTGACTCAACCAGCCTACAGCTTCCACGAAAGTAAAGAAGCAAACAGCACAGACCAAGGGCAGAGAAATGAGGGGAAGTGAGCGAGCGATCACATTAGTCCAAAATATGAGTCTAAGAAGAGACAAGAGAGAGAGGTGTAGCTTACAGCCTGGTCTGTGGAGGTCTTGCTATACGGTACGGGTATCAGCCGCTCCTGCAACGTGCCTCCAATGACCTGAACCATGAGAATAATAACAGTGGTGAGGGCGAGTGGCTACAGTGGTAAGTTAGAGCTGGCCAGGGATGAATTATACAGCAAGGTGTACAGAAGACAAGGACATGCATCAGTCTTCCACACTATGGGTGCCCACAGCCTCAAAAATAGTGGCTGTTGTCCCATCACCCATAGTACATGCCCTTGTGTTCCACACACCTTGTCTAAGGTGGCACACGGCATATTAGCCGGGTGGTGTATGTACAATGTGTGGTGTGCAGGGGATAGTGGAGCAGCAGTAGTGGAGTAGAGGCTACAGACAATACACTGGGTGTCCACACCTACCCGGGACTCGCCTAGACATTACAGGGGCACGCGGGGGTTAATACGCTTACACTCAGGACACCAACTCACGATCTGTGTGGCTCCGGGACCGTTGAAGAAGAAACACATCTTCATGCAGAGAGAGCACAACTTGACTAAAAAATAATAATGATGGAAACCCAATGGACAACTACCGCTGCAAGAGTAACTACTGTGGGTACACTAGCGAGAACTGATTATGCAGGTGAATACTGTAAATAGGCCTGCTCTAATAGCCACTAAATGTCGAGGACCGTAGATTTGGGCTAATGCTGCGGGTGAGGTGTCTAGCACAGTGGCTTACTCACTGAGAATAGCTCAGGTACAAGGGGCTGACAGAAACAGATGCTCTGGTTCATACCTCACCCCCATGTGTTTCTCCTTCCTGATCCTCCTACCAGGGAAAATAACAGAATGATACGCTCAACACCATGTTCATCTAAAAGATAACGAAGGTCAGCTTAAGTCAAAGCCTATATTAAGTGTCCCCTGGAGGCTGGAAAATAAAATATGAGCCCTGCGTTGACAGCTTCACGATAAGCTGCTAACACAAGACATCTCCCTGGATAAGGAGGAATCAGGCCAATATTACTGGCCTCTTAGCAGCCATGATACCTGCAACATGCTTGTTGCCAAACTGGGGGTGAGGCTCTGGATACTACCTCAGTGAGTGGATCAATTTCCTATGTGGAGTGTTTTTGTCCAGTACTGAACCTCCAGTCCATCCCCTAATAAGAGGGGTGAAGTCCAGAAGCCAGTCACGCCTAAAATCTGTGTTAACAGCGACCCCAACCCAAACAAACTAAAGTAAAAAAGAAATAATACTTAGAAGAAAATAAATATAAGAATAACACTAGGATAACAGGACATGAAGGATTGGACAGGCATGGAAGAGGAACGCAGTCATTCAGACAGGGAAAATTCAAGGCTGTGGTCTCAGGTACCACCAGGGCAAGCTTCCTTTATTGTTTTCAAGTTTTGGCTTCATTTAAAGTACCTTCCTCACTATTTATTATTTAATTTTTGAAATTTATTCTTCCAAAGCTGGGGAACATTTCACTATTTGGCACTCTCCATAACCACATGGCAAATTGCACAGAATAAAATAAATACACAACACAAAACACAACATGCAGTGCAAAACCACGTCTCCTCTAGCTGCGCTTTAGAAATGAGTAGTACACAAGATGTGTGTTAGTTACCCTGGCATACGCTAGACTAGTAACAGCTGAGGCGGGAGTTGTTAGTGAAGTGCACGTGAGATATTGTCTCGGTCTGTTGTAGCAAAGGTCCCGCCGGGGAGCCAGGCTGGCCTGCAGACCGCCCACCACCACAACCCTCAGATGCTGTTGCAATCAGCGGGAGGTGGCAAGCAGGGCAGGGCAAGATAACAACACTCAGCCTCAATAGGGCTCAAGGCAAGAGGAAGTAGCAACAGGCAACAGAGTGCCCGGCCCCCAGCACACCCAACGCTCCACCCACCATGGGAACACCCCCATCCCACAACACTGACTGTCATCCACCTACATGGACAGGTCATGTCAGCAACAGGGGGTGGGGGTTTGGGGAAAGGGATCAGCAAGGGTGCAAATTAAACAGCAGGGGAGTATTATAGGAAATGGTTAGGAAGGCTACAACCAAATATAAGAAAATGGTAAAAGGTATAATCAAACAAAGTATCGGGAAAGTGCAAGACGTTTATGAAAATATATAGGATTATGGTTTTTTAAGGAAACAAAACAAAACACAATAAAATATTACACACGTAATAGGATTAGGTATTAAAGGATGAGTGTCTATGACACATGAGGTAGGTCTTGCAATTTTAATGTAGGTAGGTAAAATGGACAGCAGGATATGGAATGGTCTAAGCACTCACCAGTCATGAGACTGGCGAGTGTGCTACAGGATGAGAAATGGAAATGTGGGTTAGTCTACTAATCAAGAGACTGGCAACCCAAGATTATATGTGAAAAGAGTTAAACAATGATGTGGAAGTAGCCACAATCAGTCTTGGGGAGGGGGTCAAATGCTGGTTTCATGAACCAAGTTAAGGATATCTGGTGGTGAGGGTGGGGAGGAGGGCTGCAGTGTGCTGGAGTGTGCTGCCATGTTAGAGTGAAGGGTTTGGGCCACCAATGTGTTAAAGTGGTGCGGAGAGAGAGGCTGCAGGAGTGGAGGGGAGGGGGCTGTGCCAGCAAGATGGTGGTGGTGGTGGTGGTGGCAGCACTTAGTACTTTGTGTGTTGGCGTGGGTGTGGGGTCGGTGGTGCCCCAGCTGCTGGGTTGCTGCTGCTGCAGGCCCGCCTTGGGGGCTGCCAGGGGGTACCAGGGGGGCGGTCTCGGCAGTGGTGGGCGATGACTCCTCGAAGGGCGTTACAAGGCGCACCGCTGTGTTGCACGACCCACACCGCTTGTCACTATTGGGACTTGGGCTTTTCGTAGAGTCCTCATCTATGTAACTGATGTCTGACATGGGCCGGTTGCCCTGATGACTGCGCGAGTTGCGCATACTATGCAAGCTGTGTAAACTATGGCACGACCGCCTTTCTTCCAAGTCTTCCAGGGTTGACTTGAATGCTCGTATTACTCTCAACTGCAAACGGGACGGGACATCCAATCAAACCCCCACAATATTGTAATACAGTACATCAACATCTCATCATGAACATGTTAGTAGCAACACATAAAAAAATAAAAAATAAAACTCACCAGACAAGTCACTGGTAACACAGTGCTATAAACAAACAAAAGGAACTAAGAATGACTAGTCATGTCCACATGATAATTAATAATAATAATAGTTAATGACAGGAGACTGAGGCTGAAGGAGGTGAGGCTGTTGGAGACTGGGTGAGGATGGTGTGACGCAGCCCTGTGTGACGGATGCCTGGTGGCACGGGGCGACCTATAAACATGCAAGCTGCGAGCACAGCAGTGGCAGCCAGGGCACAACAAACTAGGCACTGGGCCATGGCAGTGTTGAGGCTGCTAGCCCGTTAGGATTGTTAAAAGATTGTCTATGCAGCACAGAGAAACAAACATACTAGCCTCTTGCTCTAGCCACAGTCTACACACTCCATCTCTTAGCACAGGTCACAATATTAGCTGGGATTTAATTAAGGAATTCCAATCAAGGGTGGGATAACTGGGAACAAATTTTGAACACAGGAGGTAAAGGGCAGGTGGGGGTAACAGCATTACGACATCTGTAAGACAACAACAGCTGTACGGCTACACGACTACAGTTACCAACCTGTTACAAAACCCAGGGTGTCGGTCACGGGAGGAGCAAAACAAAGTTACTGTTAAATCAAAAATAAAAGTTAGTAGAGGGCTGGGGATGGCAGAGTATAAGACAAGATTTTCACAAAGTCAGATGCTATAAGTGCAGTAGAAAATTAGTAGGGGACCTAAATACTATTGTAAAATTGACTAAATTTTTCTTTAATATATTTCAAAAAGAATTATGCTTTTGAAAGAAAGATAGTAAGAACACTGGGTCAGCCTTTAGGTCATTGGTACTTCCTCAATTAAGGGCAGGATTTTGACTATATAAAAGTCAGAGATTGGAGTGGTTTTGGCATTTACAAATTGAGCCTACAAAGTAGAATAGTGTGGCATGAATAGCCATCAGCAGGTGGCCAGTGGAGTGGTGAGACGCAGCATTGTAACAATATACAACAAAAGAAGAAAACCAGCTGCCACTACTTGCACGCACTTGCCCTGGAGGACACAACACATGGCAGACACGCATAGTTGTTCCAAAAACAAGGGCAGCGGGGATGTTGCTTGTTAGCGGAGCTGCTACCTCATCTTCTCTGGCTACAGGAGTGAAAACACCTACGTCTAGTTGACATGCACTAATGCATGCCCAGCAGTGAAAAAAAAAAAATATATCATGCAGAAGTCAACTGAATTACTCTAGTATAAATTAAACTCGTACCTGTAAATAAAATAAATCAAACAAAGTGTGAACCTAGGCTGGTCTTCATGCACTGGGGAGTGCCAAGTATCGCGGAACCGACATCATGCTGCCGGGCGCGCCTCTCTCAATCCTTTAAGTAGGCTCATAGAAACGATAAGGAGTGAGGCTAGTGGCTCGAGGCAGAGATGAGTGGGCCAGCGCGAATTTCCCAACCCTTCGATACAATAGTCATATCTCTTTGTTATCATTGCTGCCAAAATGCCAAACAATTTTCCTTTCGGGTAGCGGCAAACTCCACAGAACTGCCTTACATGGCACTGGCTGGCCTAGGTCCCATAGGGTTTGGTGTAGCTTTTTAAGTGATTAAAGTGGTACAGATAGAGAAACAGAGGCAACAGTTCGGATAGCTACAACAAAGCTGCACGGCTGAGCTACACAAACAATAAGTCAAATGAGAGGTACATGACAAATTTATATTTCAGATCAGAGACAGTAAACAAAAATATTTAACAAGAAATAAAATAATGTCTGAAAAGAATAGGAATGTTGATCTGTGCAAATAATAAAAGGAAGACTAGTGGGATAATTTGGATTAATAAAACAAAAAAATCAAATGAAGTGGAATAGTATAAATAAATACAAATAAGAAAGCTTATACCAGAAAGCAATAAACACACAATCATAGAAATAGGAAAACCCTCAAAAAAGTTTCATTGGAGGTTGGGGTTGGGGGAGGGAGACAAAAAGAGAAGCACACAGATGAGGTCGGTAATGGAAAATACCAGAAACTGCTTGCTGACCTCCCATCACCAGGGGTGGGTCACTATACCCACTTCCACATTAGGCTCTACATTTAATCTTGTTCCAGAGTAGATCAAGCATTTTAACACATTTTGGGGCGAGTCAAGTATTTTAGCCTGTTTCAGGATGGGACCAATAGCTCTATCTAATTCCAAAATAAGTCAAACACTTTATCCTGAAGCTCAACACAGACCATCAATGACTGAGGAAACAGCGATGGCTTCAGCATTCCAAAACACCATGAAATGGCAATAATGAACAATACCCCACTTAATTTAAATAAATATTCAACTAATAAATTCAGTGGGCAAGTGTTTGTGTATTATGAATGTAGAGTGTTCTGGCGACTATATACCTGTAGACAAGAAAAATTAAGACAGAAGAGAGAGCTAGAGAGTGGGGCAGAGGGGGAGAGAGAGCAAGAGAAAGGGAGAGAGAGAGCAAAAGAGTGGGGGGAGAGAGAGAGAGCAAAAGAGGGGGGGAGGGAAAGCAAGAGAAAGAAAGAGAGAGAGCAGAGAAAGAGCCAAAAGTAGAGGAAAGAAAAGCCATAAGTAGAAGGAAGGTAGGAGGGAAAGTAAAGAAATGATAGATCAAAAGAAGTTAGAGGAGAGAAGGGAGGAGGAGGAGGAGGAAGAGAGGATAGAGGAGGCAAAGGTGAGAGAAAAG